CTCTCTCTCTCTCTCTCTCTCTCTCTCTCTCTCTCTCTCTCTCTACCCTCTGCATCATTGCCATCCCTACTCTGCCCGTTCTGGCCATCCTCATCCTGACTCTTTCCATTCTGCCCATCCCGACTCTACTCCTCCCTATCCCGACTCTGTCGCATCTCCCCATCCCGACTCTGCCTGTCTCCCCATTGCCATCCCTACTCTGCCCGTTGTGGCCATCCTCATCCAGACTCTTTCCCTGCTGCCCATCCCGACTCTAGTCCTCCCAATTCCGACTCTGTCGCGTCTCCCTGTCCTGACTCCGCCTGTCCTCCCCCTCCTCCCCCCTCAACTGCACAAGGATGGCACCTATAAGTCTAGATATGTAGAGCGGCGGCGGTGGCCCCTCTCGATCGATCGATTTTCGCTTTTCTTTCCCCTGAAAAATAGAACATCTGAGGCTAGGTTGAGGGATGGTGCAGACAAGCAAGGAGGACAGGCTGAGGAGGTCGGATGGAGGACGGTCGGGAGGAGGTAGGAGATTGTCGGCGGAGGAGCGCAGGCCAAGGGAGTCGGGTAGAGGAGGTCAGGTGTATGAATGGAGTTCAGGCGGTGGAGGTCAGGTGGTGGAAGTGGGGTGGAGGTGGGACGGAGAAGGTCAGGCCGAGGTGTGGCGGAGGAGGTGAGGCAGAGGAGATGGGGCAGTGGTCGGGCGGAGGCGGGGCAGAGGAGGTGCAGCTCCCCCTTCCCAACCTCATACTCTCTCTCTCTCTCTCTCCCCCCCCCTCTCTCTCTCTCTCGTCAGGTCAATTCTCACTTCTTTTCTCCTGAGAAAAACGAACATGTGAAGCTAGTTAGGATGAGGGGGGGTCCAGCCGGTGGCGAAGGGCGGGCCGAGGAGTTCAGACGGAGGAAGGTCGGGAGGAGGGAGAAGAACGTCGGTGGAGGGCGTCGGGCGGAGAATGGTCGGGAGGAGGTAGGAGGAGGTCGCCTAAGGAGCACCGGTGCAGGCGGAGGACGGGAAGAGGTCAGGCGGAGGTCTGTTGGAGGAGGTTGGGCGGCGGAGGTGGGTTGGAGGAGGTTGGGCAGAGGATGTCACCTTAGGAAGGGAGGAGGTGGAGCAGAGGAGGTGGAGTGAAGGACATCGGGCGAAGGGGGTGGGGGAGAGGAGGTGGGAAGAAGGAACTCGGGCAGAGGAGGTGGGGTGGAGGACATCGGGCAGAGGTGGGGCCGAGGAGGTGGGGCCGAGGGCCGGTGGAAGAGAGGAGGTTGGGCGGAAGGAGGAGGTCCGGCTCCCCTTTCCCAACCAAACTCAGGCTCTCTTCCTCCCCCTGTCCTCCGCCAGTACACGGCCCCAGCCTTGCAGAAAACATTTTGTCCCCGTGGCACTGTAGCACCGCAAGGTTCGGGGCTGCCACGTGCCGTTGATAAAGATTATCGAGTGCCAGCATCACAGTGCGGTGTATCTTTTTCCATGACGTGGCGGAAGATTCATTCTCATTTATAGGAGAGAAGCGTAGCCGCCGGGGCCAGCTAGGTATGGTAGCCATAGCCTGGGTGGAACCCTAGCCACGGCGCCGGCAATTTCGGGCGACAGGTGGCCTGGCGGAGCGCCGCCTGGTGCGCCTTCGTCGCTCACATTCACTGTTCTTTTTTTTCTTTTTTTTTAAAGCAGTGCATCTTTCCATGTTCTACCAGAGTAGTCATTCTCATTTATTGCCAGAGTGTTGGAGCAATGACCCTTGGTGATTTGGAGTCCGTTTTTCTTTTTTTTGTCGTTCTCTGCGCTGGTTGGTCGGTTGCTGGAAACACGAAGCAGGGCTCGAATCCAGAGAGATGAAGGCCATGGCGGCGCTGCTGTGTAGAAACCACGCCCACCCGCCTGCTATAGGGCTACTCCCTAAAAATGTGCTGAATGCCCGCTAGAGTTACATGGAAAAATGCGTTCCCAAACTCCCTGGAGACACGAACAGGCATCCCTCCACGGCTGTCTGCAGCTGGTGTGTTGGGTACTGCTCGGCCACCACGGTACTACCTGGCTCTGGCAAGGACCGGGCTGCCCCTGATGTTTTTTTTTTTTTTTTTTTTTTTTTTTTTTTTTTTTTTCCCTTGGTGAGCGCGGCCGCATCTGCGCCGCGCATCCACTTGTTATTATTATTTTAAAAGAAAATCTTCCAGCGGAATATGCAATCTGAACAGGAAAGACGCAATTTGGGAACACAACAAAACACATCCTCGTCATGAATGTGTATACAAGCTCTCCCTCTGGTCAGATGCATAGAGCTTTTGAAAAATAGCTCTTCGTGGAATAATACTATTTAGGGGACAGCAAACGCATCCTCATCATGCATGTGTAAAAGCCATCTTTCCAGTCAAATGCACAGTCATGATGAGGGTTCTTTGTGTTTGGAGGAGTTGCAGAAGTGCGTAATCCACATTGGTAGTGGTGTGTACGACCACCGTCTGCACCGGCATAGTATTTGGCGCAAGTTTCAGTCCAGATATATTTATAATGACCTGGCATTTTATTCGGCTAGTAGTGAATTTCAAGCTCAAACATTATGTGGCCAGTTAATTTGAGAAAAATTGCATATGCCACGAGGGGTCACCCAGCTGTCGCCTGCTCCCCCCTTCCGCTCCTTCACTCCTCCTCTCCCCTCCATCTCCTCAAGGCCAGCGAAAATGGAGGTCTTGTGGCTTCCTCAGGCGGAGTCCCTCGACCCAAGAGGATTTGATTTTTGAACGCGTGACTGAATGTGGATGTGTTTTATGCAGAGATTCAGAAAAAAATGACAAAAAGACCCATGCAGGCTTTCTCCACCTCTCCACGAACGCGTCCAGATTCGGGTGTGAAATCTGATCCTGTTTGTTTGTGAGACTGCACCCCCCCCCCCCCCCCCCCCCGTGGTATCGTTTCCGTCCGCCATACTGAGAAGTACACCAATTGCATTGGTCATGTATTTCGAGAATAAAGTATTGTGAGGCTGCCTTTTTTTTTTTTTTTTTTTTTTTTTTTTTCAGAGCAGGTCAAAATTTTCAAATAAACGGCAACCATTGAAAAAGAAAAAGAAAAAAGCAATAGCGACAACTGTAACAGGAGGTTGCGTCTTTTGCTCATGTCTACAGACATATATCTAGTATATATAGTCTTTTCCATCTGTTGTGGGTGAGTGATAGTCTGCTTTGATTTTCGTCACAGGTACCTTGAGGGCCCAGTGGTTGGTGGTCCCCACCACCTCAGAGGGGTATCAGTTGTCGGGCAGTCATTGATGCTTAACCACAGCCGGCGGGGTTAAGGTGGATTATCACTTACAGTGTAATCAGTCAGTTAGGGGATTCTGCAGACTGTTGAGGGTTCAGCCTTCTGACGGTGAAACTCTGACAAAACTGTATAACCACAGTCGGGGTTAAGGTGGATTGTCACTTACAGTGTAATCAGTCAGGGGATTGTGCAGACTGTTGAGGGTTCAGCCTCTACTGATTGACAAGTCGGTGGAACTCCGACGGAACAGTTTGTCACAGCCCCTCGTTTGTTGTCCTCTTCTCCCTTCCTCCCTCTCAGCCTACCCTTTACCAGAGTTCTATTTGATGATATATAGATATATCATACATGCTGCGCATCGGGATGCGCTGCACCGCGCACATGTGAGGGGCGGTAGTAGACCTGGACCCCCTTTTTTTTTTTTGTAGTTTAAATGCCCCCTCCACTGATAGTGGTGCTGGTAAGAGCAGACACCACTAGCACCTGGGGAGAGGCTCCATCTATTGGTGGGGAGCATCGCCTGCTGGAAAATGGGTGCAGCATCCCATATACAGAATGAATTTGGGGAATATCAGGAAAAAAAGAGTGAGAGACTTCTGCCAGCATTGATTACCCTGGAATCCAGAGGGATTGACTGAGCAGGATATTGGAAAAAGGGAGAGAGCCTCTTCGCCCTGAACCAGGCGCCAGATACCTGCTGTTGCTACAAACTACTTCCTCCCTCCCCCCACCAGCTCCTTTTACCACCCAGTCCCAACTGCCAATCCCTTGTGATAACTGCTTGCCATACATTCTGAGGCTGTGGTAAGCATCCTATTACATACCGAAAAACGCTGAACTGTACTTTGTCGACCTGCCAGCATTAA